CACAATCCCACCACCTCAGTTTCAATAATTTGCCGGAGTGGTTCACAAAACTCAGGAAAACAGTCACTTTCGTTACTGGTTTATTATAAAGGATACAAACGAACAGCCAGGTAAAGAGGTATATAATGTGAGGTTGGGAAGGGTCCTGAGTTTTGTCCCCATGGAGTTGGGGTACAGTGCCCTCCTGGCATGTAGATATGTTCACCAACCCAGAAGCTCTCTGAACCTCATAGTTTAGGAATTTTTATGGCTGCTGAAACACATAGGCATGATCTATTATTAGTTTTATCTCTAGTCTCTGACCTATCCCCAGAGGATGGGAGGTGAGGTTGGAAGTTCCAAGCTTCTAATCAAGGCTTGGTATTTCTGGGAACCAGTCCCCATCCTGAAGCTATCTAGGAAATTTTCTAAGGGATTTAGGAGCTCAGGAATTGGGGACTGATATCTTTCTTATTATGTCACACTTCTACTCACACATCAGACCTCCCCTAGATCAAGAAATCTGTCATGAAAAAAAAAAAAAAAAAAGAAATCTGTCATGATGAGCTGTGACAATGTAAAATGTGGTTTACTTTGATTTTTTTCCAGACTCTTCTACTCTTTCTCTCTCTTTAGGATCTCAGTGTCTATCCTATGGATATCGTTTTTCAATAGGGAGCCTTCTGAGAATTCTCACTTCCTCCCTTGTACTTTTGACCCATGCAGACGGAGGCTCTACTAGACCATCCCTCCAGGAAGACCCTAGTTCTGGTCTCTGTTCTCTCTACACATTCTGACTCATTGCCATTTCCATTCCTCTCAAGACTGCATTTTAGTGGCTCACGTCTCCTGGGTCTCCGATTCTTTCATCCCCGGACCTTCCTTCCCCCCGCCATGTGGAGACATCATCCCCTGCAGCCTCGCCTCCACCTGCCCCCAGGCCCCCTGCCCCCACATCACTGAATGTGTATTTGCAGCAGGAGGAAATGCTGGTGGTGCCTTCTGGCTGAGGCACAGAGGGAAAGCTGCTCCCTCGGGAAGAAATAAGCGACAGCTCTGCAGTTTTCATGTGGCTGTTTTTCTTCGGAGGGAGGAGGTGTGCAGCTGGAAAGAGAGAGATTGGAGGGAAGGGAAAGGCAGAGGGGGCAGGACCCAGGCTTCTTGGCAGCCTGAGCGGGGCGGGAAGGGGGGGTGGGAGTGGGGGGGGGCAAAGAGCTGTGTTCCAAGTAACAGAAACCATCAGCAGCAAAACAATTCCTGGAAATTTGCTCTTTCTCCTTCCTACTCCCCCCAACTTTTTTTCCAAAAAATGTAGACAAGACATTGTAATCAACAATCAGAAAGGAAGGAAGGTACCAGGGAGGAGTTATTGGAGACACAGATAAAAGCAGGCAGCTTCCCAGGGTCAGGTGGGGGCCAAGGGCTCGTGCCTGGACCCTGGAGGAAGGGGCTGCACAGGCCAGCCCAGGAATCCCCCCATTCGGCTGGCCTGTGTGACCGAGGACCCTACATCATGTGTGGAGGGCAGATGGACTGTGGACCCGTCCAGGCTGAGGACTTTGACAACGATCGTATTTCCATCGCCAGCCTAGCTTCCAGGAGGTCACTGAGGGCAGAAGCCAAGCCCAGCCACAGAAGTCATTCTGCCCCGCTGCCACAGCTTCTCCATGCCAGGGAGGCGGACTTGTCTGCCCAACAGCACCAGATAAGGAGCTCCCCAAGGCTCCCCAAAGAAGGAGGTGGTCCAGCGACCCTGTCCTTGATTCTGCTCAGGTCTTTCCTGCTTCCTCACTCTTCACTGAGACACAGTGGAGATAACACTAGTCTGGGGACCAGACCTGGCTTTGACACCTGGTTCTCCCACTTAGTAGCCATGTGACTTTGCACAACCCCTTTATCTTTCTGAATCTCAGTTTCTTTATATGTGAAGTGAGGATAAGGGTTATTGTATGGGATGCAAGAGATGAGATATGTACAGTGCTTGGCATAAGCATGTCTCTTTCCCACTTTTTGGGAGTGGGGAAGAAGAGATCCCTTCTTGTGGAATTACCTTGAGATACCTCTCCTTAGTCCCACCACTATGAGCCATTCTTCTCTGAATTGGATCAACACCAGCTTCCTCTTTTATTTAGTTGTCTGGTGTTGTGTTTCTTACACAGAAGGTCAAGAACATCCCCAATGCCACTATGAAGTACCACAAAAGAGAAGTAGTAAGAGTAACAGTTAACATTTATTGAATACTTACCATTTACTAGGCATAATTGCGAGGTGCTCGACATTGCCAGGTGCCTCATTTAATCCCCACAATGACTGGATGAGGTGGCCACTACCGTAGACAAGGCTTCTATCATATCGTGAGGCACAGGGATTTTAAACAACTTGCCTGAGTCCCAAAGCTAGTATTTCAGTAAACCCTTATTACAGGGATTCTTGACCTGGATTCCTGGCACCTAGTGGCTTTAGGTGGTCTATGAACCCCCTAAAAAGTATATTCAAAATCCTGTATGGTGTGTTAAGTCATTTTATGGGGCTTAGAGTCTCAAAAGGGTCCATGATGTCCAAAATGTTAAAAATGACTGCCCTCGAAGCACCTCTCATGGATGCAGCTAGGATAAAAAAAAGTGGGGTATGGCCTACGCTTCTGTGGAGGTGACTCAGCCCTTGGAATTCTGGGAAATTTCTTGAGTGAGGGCAAAGTCCCTTTCACGGGATGACCTGGGAGGGGTTGAGAAAGGGAAGGTGAATGGTCTTTGCTTCCACAAGATGAAGGACAACCGTTTCCTCCCTATGATTTCCCAAGAGAGTGTATGTGGAGGTGTGTAAGTTTAGTGCAAAGAAGAGGAGGCTTGGAAAGACTCAAGACTGGAAGGCCCCCAGGGAAATGGCGCCACCCAGCAGTCTTCCGGCATTCCTCGGCTCTTCCCTACTCTGTAATTTCCTATCTGTCTCCTGGCTTCTGTTCCTCCCTCAGAATCCCCACACTTCCTGATCTCCAGCACATCCCACCCCCGGGGGGCGGTTCTGTAGATGTGCTGACAGTCCCTTGCTGATTCCAGATTTATTCAGTTTCCACTAACTTTGGTTGAGCACCTGATGTGTGCTGGGCAGAAATGCCCCTTGAATTCTTCAGTGTTTCTGGAGGCCTCAACTTCCTAGGGTTCCACCTTGATGACAACATAGGGATTCTTAAACTCCCCAAGAGTTGGAATTGGTAGGACTCATGAGATCCTCCTGATCCTCCTCCCTCATTATAAAGAAGAAGGAATGGAGGCTTTGGGGACTCTCATGTGGTCGGACAACATGAGAAATGCAGGTGAAAATGGAGAGCGAAGTGGGGTGCAGCAGAGTGATCTACCTCTGCATGCATTCATCTTGCAGGATGCGGGGTGCTGCCAGGTGCTGGACCCGTCCCTGCCCCCGAGGGGCTGCAGTGTTCAGTGCTCTAGGTGTTCAGCACAATGGGGTGCGCCCCATATTGCTTCATTCACATGAAAGCATTGCTTCAGCCTTCACCTGGAGCTTCTGGATTTCTACCATTTTTCTTCCCCCCAAGCAATGATGATCCAGCCATTTTGTGGCCCCTTGGGGAAAGGTGTGCAAGAGGTTTGGGACCACATCTAGAGGTCCTTTCTGGAGTGTCAGGGAGCTGTGCACCAGTTAGGTGTCTGATTTCAGCTAGTGCTTCCTGCAGGACACAAACGCTGAAGCTTGCTGAAGGGCCCTGCCCAGGGCTACAGCTCAAGGGCCCGCCATGAGGGCAGGAGAGCCGCGTGGACGAAGAGGCCCAATATGAGCCGGCCTCAGTATTCCTCTGAGCTTCTGCACGACTCACCTCCGTCCCCAGGCCTCTTTCCTGGAGAAGGTGGCTGGTGTAGTCCAGTGGATACAGGCAGGGACTAGAGCCCAATCCTGTCAGAGGCCACTGGGCTGCCCTGAGGAAGCTGCCCCAGCCCCATCTCTGTCCACTCTCCTTTTGCCAAAGTGGTGTCCTCTGCCTCACCCTGAAGCCCCTCCGTGCACAGCTCTTCTGTCCGGTCCCCAGTCCTTTCTTTTGTGTGCTGAGGGGGCAGCTCCCGCCTCCTCCCCACCATCACCCAGACACACAGCCCTGCCTGCTTCGGTGGGGTTTAGGACACCCCCTCCCTTGGCCCCTGTGCAAACTGGTCTTTTCTGCCTTTGGAGTCTGTGTCTGGTCTGGATTCTGGCTGTGGGAGGGCAGAGGGCAATGCAAGCAGGCCCCCCGGGCTGGGGATGGCGCATCTCCACGGAGCGAGACCCGCTTTGCCAAAGTGCTTGCTTTCAACCCTCCCAGGGACTGGGAGCGACTGGGAGTGAGCGGTCTCTCTCCTGCGTGTGCCCGCCCACATTCCCTTCTCCCATCTCTTCGCCTATGAGGTCAGATTCCCCTTCAGGCTCCTGAACATCTGTCTGCCTCAGAGAACTACTACAGCAGGAGGGGACCTTCGACTCTTTGCCTTCTTCTAACCCCTAGAGAGGCCGACAGTGACTTAGATTTCTGAGGAGTGATGTGTACCCTGAGCCCGAGGAGGAAACCCAGGCTCAGGGAACATGTTGAAGGCAAATATGTCTTGAATCAAAGTGTAGCTTCCTAGTAAGAACCTTCCTGAGCTGGGGAATCTCCAGGTCCAGCATGTCAGCAGACAAGTGAAACAGTTCTAAAGCTGGAAGCCAGAAGAGAGTGGCCTGTGTCACTCAGTGTGGCCACATGGATGCAGAGAGCAGAGTGCAGTCAGAGGGTGAGGGGGCATTGTTGTCACCATGTTTCCTTTCTGGGCAGGATTTGGGCTTTTCAAGGGCATACGTCAGCACTTATAAAAGTAGCCCAAAGAGCAGAGAGGTTGGGGATAGGAAAAAAATGTTCCAGAAAGACCGTGATCAGGAGGGAAATGAAAGACTTCATGCCAGAGAACCTGAAGGCCAGACTGCCTTCATAGCTATCCGGATTGAGGAGGCCAGACTATTTTCTGATCAGAGCCTATCCATCTGTTCCCTGCAAAGCCATGTGGCTGTACCTGGCGGCCCTCGTGGGCCTGTCCTACCTCCTGGGCTTGTACCTCCGAGACAAGTACATTTTCATCACGGGCTGCGACTCAGGCTTCGGGAACCTGCTGGTCAGGCAGCTGGACCTGCGAGGCTTGAGGGTGCTGGCCGCGTGTCTGACGGAGGAGGGGGCCCAGCAGCTGAGAGGCCAGATGTCCGACAGGCTGGAGACGGTGATCCTGGATGTCACCAAGACAGAGAGCATCTCTGCGGCCGCCCAGTGAGTGAAGGAGCGTGTGGGGGACAGAGGTACCACCCAGATTCATTTGTGTCTCTTCATTGCTTCTCTCTGTGCAAGGGAGACCTCTCTTCTGCTAGCTGGGAAGATTTCCAGGATGTTTTCCAGAACTTGAAGTCATACTAGCTTTCTTCACCTCACCCAACTAATCAGCAGAGCCTCTTCTCTCTCAGCTGCCCCCCCACCTCGAGACCTTGGAGCTCTGGAGTTTTGGGGAGAATGTGCCCTGATGAGGATTTGCCCTCCCAGAATTCCTCTTTATGGTGCCCTCTCTCTCTCAGCAGAAGTTCTGGATTTCTTGATGCTGAGTGCCTAGGGAGGCTCCCTCTCTGGAGGAGGAGCTGAGACAGGGGACCTGGCCTGAAGGCTTGCACTGGTGGCTGGGGACATTGCTGGAGCTGGGTTCTGCTCTCAGCACTTCAGCAACACCTCGCAGTATGCTGGGAAATTGTTTCCTACATTTCATTCATCACATTCAATATAAATAATGTCTTGGTAAACTTCTTTGTCGTGTTTGTCCCCAAGGCCTCCCAAGTCCTTGCCCCTCTGCCTGTCTGCCTTGCAGGAGGGAGCTCTCCTACTTTGGAGTGAAGGTAGCTATGATCGAGCCTGGTTACTTCAACACTGATGTCACCAACCCTGAGAAGATTTCTAGGGCCACCCAAGAGGCATGGGACCGGCTCAGCCCGGAGGTGAAGGAGCTCTATGGGGAGAAGTTCCTGGCATCTGGTGAGTGAGCTGTGGGCTGGGGAAAAGGAAGCAAACCTTTGTGTGGCTGCCCTGGGCCCATCTCTAGCGCCTCCTACAGACCCAGGTCCCTCCTGCAGGCTCGAGTCCCCCACACAGTGGGGACATTTTGTTCCATCCCCGTGGTCCCATGTGGTCACCTGGTGACCTCAGGGAAGATCCAGGCTTGTCAGACCTGGGGACCGCTGTTTCCTCCGATGCCCTCGTTGTTTGGGGAGGACCCTGAAGCCAGAGGGGGAAGAAGACAGGCGTGGATTCCTGGCAAGCTGGCATGAGAACGGCTGGTTTTCAGGTGCTTAGAAGTCTAGTGTTTGTAGAGACCTCGGTTCTGCAGAGCACATATTCCCGGGAATAGAGCCAGAGGGGGCTTAGTGTGGAGAGCCTTCCTGTGGTAGGAGGTGGGACACACCCGGCAGAAATCCATGTACCAGATCCTCACACTGAAGGCAGGGTTGTGTCTCCACAGTTTTGGGCTCCCACTCCGGTGGCGGAGGCTGCATATCCGTAGGGCTGGAAACAAGCTTGTACAATCAGTACTCACTCCCTGCCCTCTCCAGCTCCCTTTCCCATCACCTATGGCTCCCCTCTTCAGATGAGCCATGGTGGGTGAAGAGGCAGAGGGTGGGGGTGGGGCCGCCTGGGAGGTGGTCCTGCCGAGCCTCCAGCAGGGCACCACCAGGGGGCGTGCGCCTCCGCCTCGCCGCGCACTTGGCTTACAGGTGCAGTCCCGGAGCCTGGCAGAGCAGCCTCGCCCTCCGCAGGTCGCCTGTCTCACTGTCCAGACGTCCTGTGCAGGATCTCAGTGCAGAGATTAGTGGCAACTAGTCTCCATCCCCCTGGGGCCGCTGCAGGGTTTCTCGTTCTGGCCCCCACAGCTCCCAGGTAAGTGAGGGGCACCCCGCCTCCTTTTCTCTTACTGCCCTCTCTGAACTTCCTGTGACTGTTCCCACCTGAAATGGACTCTGAAGCTCCTGGCACCCCGGCAAGTGGTCACATTGCTTTGAGGATTTACAAGAGTGCAGCAGCACGCGTTGAGGGCTGGGAGATGTCTCTGCTGCGTGGCCCCTTGAAAACTGATGGTGAAGGAATTTGTGGTCACTGAGGAAGAAACCCGCCAGTTCCTTGCAAGTAAAGAAACATGGTCCGATCCCTTCATGGGGTTTGGTGTCCAGTTAGGATGTGCATGTTGCCTTGTACCCCTGAGAGTTTCCAGGGCTCCTTCCTTCCTCCTTGCTTTCTTCCTCCCCAACCCTTCGGGAAGCCCATGTAGGAGGGTCCCGGCGGTGACCCCAGGAAGCAGGGACAGGCTCATTTCTGCAGGATCAGGCCTGGCCATGCTGCTACCACCTCCCACCTTAAGAGACAAACACTTTCAGGACTACTGTCGGCTCCTGGCACAGAACAGTTTCAACTAAAGCCTTGATCGGTGCCCCTTTCTGTCTTTTTCACCTGCTGGGGGAGAGCCAGGGGCAAGCTCGCCTCTGGTTCCTGCGGGGAAGCCTCTCTGCCCCTCCCAGTGCCTCTCCTAATTCTCATTTACCTGCCAGAGCTGTATAAATGTGGACAGGGAGGGAGAAGCCCAGAGCAGTCCAACTGGCTTCTGGTCTTGACCCGGCCCCAGCTCTGTCCACTCTCCCTTTGCTGAAGTGGTGTCCTCTGCCTCACCCTGAAGCCCCTCCACTGGCAGCCCCAGGCCACACGGCTGGTTGGTTGGTAGCAGAGCTGGGTTTCGAAACCACGTGCATCTTGATTCACAGAGCATCTATCACCTTTATAAGAATCTCCAGTAAGTCAGGGAGACCAGGGTTCCAGACTTGACCGAGAATGAAATAGACAGTTCTGAACCTGAGATCTAGGACATAGGGGACTCCAGTGTGTGTGTGTGTGTGTGTGTGTGTGTGAGAGAGAGAGAGAGGGAGTAGGTGGGCAGAGGGAAATGGAGGAGTGGGAGGAGAGGTGACTGGGAAAAGTGTCTCCACGTCAAAAGATTCTTTGTGAAATCCAATGGCATCTAGTAGAAAGGGCATAAGTGTACCAGAGAGCCTGCAAGTTGGCCCCCGAATCAATAAGACTCACTAAAGATGGCGGCCAGGAACAACCTGAAGACCCTACGTCAGACAGCCTGGAGGCTGGCCAGCTGCTCACACCCTGTGTGTTCTTAAGTCGTCCTGCCCGAACACTGGCCACACTCATTTCATTTCAGCTTGTGTGCTCCCCTCACCATGTGGCTGTCCGTGGTGGCCCTCGTGGGCCTCTACTACCTCCTGCGCTGGTACTGGGAGAGGCAGGTGGTGAGCCACCTCCAGGACAAGTACGTCTTCATCACGGGCTGCGACTCGGGCTTCGGGAACCTGCTGGCCAGGCAGCTGGACCTGCGAGGCTTGAGGGTGCTGGCCGCGTGTCTGACGGAGGAGGGGGCCCAGCAGCTGAGAGGCCAGACGTCAGACAGGCTGGAGACGGTGATCCTGGACGTCACCAAGACAGAGAGCATCTCTGCGGCCGCCCAGTGGGTGAAGGAACGTGTGGGGGACAGAGGTACGGCCCAGATTCCGGTTTGTGTCTCTTTGTTTCTTCTCTCTGTGCAAGGGAGACCTCTCTGTGCAAGGGAAGATACCCGAGATGTTTTGATTTTCAAAGCCTCAGGCTCTGGAGTTTCCTAAGCAGAAGGCCTGGAGTGCCAGGGTCTGAGCCCAGGGTTAGACAAGCCCAGGCCAAGTTTAGGACCAATAGTCTGGAGGAGGCCTTGGGCCCTCAAGGCTTGTGATGGGGCAGCATGGGGCTGGGCCAAGCTCCACCCAGGCTCCTGATCTCAGCAGGTGCACAGTTTCTTGATGGGGCCTTCACACCCAGCCCTCTGTAGGGCTTTAAGATCAGCCCCACTTGACTTATAAGGACACTGAGGCTCAGGGAGCTGGAGGGACTTTTAGTCAAATACGGGTGAGGGGGTCCTGTTCTTTCTCTTCCATTATGCTGCCTGCCCTTTTCAGGAAAGAGGACATCACTGATGTCTTTTTTTGTGATTAAAAGTATAAAACACACTCGTACAAAACGTAGAAGAGGATAAAGATAAAAGGACATTTCCCAAAGCCCAGTTTCCAGAGTCAGTCACTCTCTACATTATTATGTATCCTCTGATCAACATTTTCATCATCAAATCTTTTCCAAACGTAATATTCAATGTCTGTATATCCAAGTATGCTGAGAGACCACCATTCACTGAAGCCATCCTATATCGTTGTCTCCTGACGTTTGTTTTCCACTTTTGCTGGTATAAACCACATCTCAGGGAAGATTTCTATAATAAAGCTTTGTTTCCATTCTCAGGAATGTTAAGTAAAATACAATAATTGGATCAGAGAGCATGCATTTCTTTAAGGCCAGGGAAGGTTTCTGAGCAGGGGAGGGATGAGTATTGCAGGGGGCCTTCTTCCCTTTCCAGTATTCCCAGGGCCAAACCCTGTCCCTCCCTCTTCCCCGCCCCCCCGCCCCACCTCTCCCTACCACCAGCCCCTTGTCACTGAGGACCAGAACCTGCTGACTTGAGGACTATTTCAAATCCTTTGTTGTGTCTTTTCTCCCCATCTCTTCGGGGGAGCTTTCCTGAAGGCTGAGTGGGCTGGGGACCTAGGAGGAGGGGACTAGAGTGAACTTTTGGGAGGGTGAAGGAGAGGGTGACACTTCTTGGGGCTAAGGATGCAGTCTGCACTAGTGTGTGGCATGAGGCCTCGTCACCTCCTCCCCGAAGCCTGCCCGGACGTCCACTGCAGGGTGAGCTTTGGCATTGCCCACAGCACAGAGGCCGGGCTTGGCTTCCCGAGCAGGCGCCCCCTGGGAGTCGGCACAGGTTGCTGCAAAGCCTGCCCCGTGGGGCCCAGCACAGGCCTGGTCTCTAGATTACCCTGATGTGGGAATTTCATGTCTGTCTTTCCCAACGGAGTGTGGGCAGGCTGTTTTCATGTTTTTTCTCCCTTTCATTTATTTTTAAATTTTCTCTTTCCTTTTTCTTCTCCAGTTTCCCCTTCATTTTTGTCACTTAACCATCCCTGTCTACCTCTCGCTGTCTCTTTTCTGTGAGAGTTGTGAACACTATGCTCTTATCTGGAACTCTGGGCACGCTCTTCGCAAAAATGGGCTTATTGCCTCCTGCACGCCAGGCACCTAGGAGCAGCAAGACGAGAAGGAGCAGCCCTTCTAGCTCAGTGAGCATCCAGTAGCTCAGTGTGCGGGCAGACCCTGGACCCCCGTAGCCGCCTTGTCCCTAGTTCCTTTCCTGCGCTCTTTTCCTTTATACCATGTAGGCATTGTTGTTGGTTCTGTAAAAAAGTGGGTTGGAAGGTGACTTGGACCACAACTGTGTCTCACTCATGCACACAGACAATGTTGCTATCTCCCTACCCTGTGCCCAGGACTCTGGGGCCTGGTGAATAATGCTGGCATCTCTGTGCCCACGGCACCCAATGAGTGGCTGACCAGGCGTGACTTCATGAAGATACTTGACGTGAACCTGTTGGGGTTGTTGGAGGTGACACTGAGCCTGCTGTCCCTAGTGAGGAAGGCGAGGGGCCGCGTGGTCAATGTCTCCAGCATCATGGGCCGGCTGTCCCTTTTTGGTGGGGGCTACTGCATCTCCAAGTATGGCGTCGAGGCCTTCTCGGACTCCCTCAGGTATTGAACTGGGACGGAGGCCCTCCCTCAGCCCGCCTGCGTCTATACTTCTGGGGGAGATTTTTCTAGGGGGTTCATTTCCTCACAGCCTCAGAGGCTCTTCCTTCCAGATGCCTCTCTCTTGCTTTGTGCCAGACATTCATTGGGAAGCACCATCCTATGTTCTGGGTGTTGGAATAGGCCCCAGTCATATAGAACTGGTTTCACCCATCGCTGCCCCGGGGGAGGGCCCACAGTAGGGAAGTGTCTGAGGCAGCAATGGACCTGAGATCATTTGGCTACAGAGCTCATGTCCATAATTCCTATAATATTCAGCTTTAGGGGGCCCTTCACATGGGGGTCCAGCATTTGACTCCATTCAATAGTTACTTCTCGGCACTTCTGTGAGTATACAACATAAGTGTCTGACCTAAAAATTCTGACAGCTGAGGGGCGCCTGGGTGGCTCAGTAGGTTAAGTGTCTGCCTTCAGCTCAGGTCATGATCTCAGGGTCCTGGGATGGAGTCCCATGTCGGGCTCCCTGCTCAATGAGAAGTCTGCTTCTCCCTCTCCTTCTGCCCCTCCCCACTCCTCGTGCTCTCTCTCTCTCAAATAAATAAATAAAATCTTAAAAAAAAAAAAAAAGTCTGACAGCTGAGAAAGGGACAAGTGAGACACAAATGTCGTGACCATCTCTCATGATGGTTGTGACCAAGCCAGTTAGCCATGGTGGTGGGGGTGGCCAGCAGAATGAGGGGAGGGTCCTGGAGAAGGGCCTGAGCTGAGGATTGAAGAAATGAACTTGGCAACCTGGCAAAGTTGAGTGGGAAGGCCTCCTGCGGGAGGGAACCACTCAAGCCCAAGCCCAAGCCCAAGCCCAAGCCCAAGCCCAAGGTGAGTCATGGCCTATGCGGCATAGTCCTCCAGGCTACCGGACAAGGCCTGGCTGGACAGGGGTCATGCTGGGCAGGAGGGCATGGGCGGGCAGTGGAGATGGGGTGGGGGTAGGGGGTGGGGGACCGGACAGGCTGCAAACCTTCATGCTGTTGGCAACAGGACCCCGTGGAAGGGGTTTACTCAGGGGAACTTTGTCAAATCAGCCTCTGCGGAGCCCACCAGCTGCAGGGCAGAAGTTGGCTCTGGGTATGAGGCAGGAGGTAAAATGGGCAAAGTCTGGAGATGGATTGGATGTGAGGAGAAATAGGAGGAGATGGTGCGTGAGGGGTGCCCTGCAGCAGGCTAGGCAGGATGTGGGCTCAGCAGCGCGCGGACCATACTGGGAAACACACGCACATTATACACGGACTATTCCTCATCACTATTTTCTCCCCCTGGCGGCTGCTCTTGGAACCTTCCCAAGCTTTTGAGTTGATCCTACCCCAATCCCGAGTTAGGTTTATATCAAGTTTGTTTGTTTGTCGTGTTTGTCCTCGAAGCCTCCCAAGTCCTTGCCCCTCTGCCTGTCTGCCTTGCAGGAGGGAGCTCTCCTACTTTGGAGTGAAGGTAGCTATGATCGAGCCTGGTTACTTCAACACTGATGTCACCAGCCCTGAGAAGATTTCTAGGGCCACCCAAGAGGCATGGGACCGGCTCAGCCCGGAGGTGAAGGAGCTCTATGGGGAGAAGTTCCTGGCATCTGGTGAGTGAGCTGTGGGCTGGGGAGAAGGAAACAAACCTTGTGTGGCCGCCCTGGGCCCATCTCTAGCGCCTCCTACAGACCCAGGTCCCTCCTGCAGTCTCGGAGTCCCCCACACAGTGGGGACATTTTGTTCCATCCCCGTGGTCCCATGTGGTCACCTGGTGACCTCAGGGAAGATCCAGGCTTGTCAGACCTGGGGACCGCTGTTTCCTCCGATGCCCTCGTTGTTTGGGGAGGACCCTGAAGCCAGAGGGGGAAGAAGACAGGCGTGGATTCCTGGCAAGCTGGCATGAGAACGGCTGGTTTTCAGGTGCTTAGAAGTCTAGTGTTTGTAGAGACCTCGGTTCTGCAGAGCACATATTCCCAGGAATGGAGCCAGAGGGGGCTTAGTGTGGAGAGCCTTCCTGTGGTAGGAGGTGGGACACACTCCGGTGAAATCCATGGATTCCCCCTGGAGATGACCTGGGAGCGGTGGAGAGGTGGGGTGCTTTTAGAAACTCTTCTCTTCAGTTGATCCCAAAGCAAGATTGGAGTGTGAGACTATGTCATTCCTTTTGGACAGTCAAGAAATCAGTTGAAAAGCTGAAGTCAACATGTTGCAACAATCTGTACTTGGTGACGAACTGCATGGAACATGCCCTGACAGCCTGCCACCCCCGCACCCGATACTCCCCAGGCTGGGATGCTAAGCTCTTCTACATCCCCATGAGCTACATGCCCACCTTGCTGGTGGACGCCATGATCTACTGGAATTCTCCGAGACCTGATAAGGCTCTGTAACCCAAGCCTGGGGTGCATGGTAGGAGGGAGTTGTGTCCTATGTGAGGGTGGGGATGCCTCAGGGGGGAGAGAGAGGTGGAAAAAGGGGGACCTCAGGTCACCAAGGACACCCGTCTCACCTTCCTCCCCACCTCCTCCTCAGGCTTTCCTGGGATATGACTCAGGATTCTGGAGATATCAGGAGGAAAGGACCAAGTTTCATGGCTGAGCAACAGGGACCCAATAGCACACACACATGCCCTGTTCCCCGAATGGCTTCTAAAGGCTCTGAGCTTCTTTGGCGCTCCGGCCACCTTGAGGAATCCATACTCTTGGCAGAGTGTCAGCAGCAGGGAGGTCTCAGCCCCCACCTGCTCTACCTCTGTCCTCCTACTCAGGGTGTCCCCCTCCCACAGGATGGACATAGCCTGGGGGAGTTCATGCCCCTCTCCACTGAAGATACCTAATGCCAGAACAGATGTGAATGGGGACGACCAGCCAGACCCATTAGCCTGAGGAGCCAACTCACAGACCTTGGTTAAAAGGACATGTCTATAATCAGACACAGAGGACACAGAAACCAGCTACTGGGGCACCTGGGTGGCTCAATCGGTTAAGCGTCTGCCTTCAGCTCAGGTCATGATCTCAGGGTCCTGGGATCAAGCCCCTGTGTCGGGCTCCCTGCTCAGTGGGCAGTCTGATTCTCCCTCTCCCTCTGTGCCTCCCCCCTACTTGTGTGCTCTCTCTCTGTGTCAAATAAATAAAACCGAAAGAAAGAAAGAAAGAAAGAAAGAAAGAAAGAAAGAAAGAAAGAAAGAAAGAAAGAAAGAAAAACTAGTTGTTGAGTTGTCTTGAAACCTTGAAGTCTGTTGATTATTTCTGCCTCAAAATAAAAGTTGAAAAGTTTACTTAGGTCTGGTGATTGGAACCGTGGCCTTGGGGAGCAGTGGGGTGTGAGTCCATGAGAGGAGTCGTCAGGTGCCTTCACAGAGATCAAGGGAGCAATGGGATAACCTGGGTGGGATTTCAAGAGGGGAGTGAGATCACCCCCTTCCTTCCACAGAAGTGGGGGCTAATGTTTCCTTTCCAGGATTTATCAAGCAATGTGGGGTCACAGGAAACCCAAGGATGAACAGACAGGAGAAGTTGCTGAAGCACTGGCAGGCCCTAGTCCTTTCCCAGGGACATTAAGCCTGCCCCCTCAGCAGCATCCTCTCTGCAGCCCTCTGTTCTCCCCTCCTCTAGATTTATGTCCCCAACTGCAGCCATCCCCAACTTCCCCAGCCCAGATCCCCCTTCCCACATCCTCCAGTGGAGGAAAGTAAGAGTCACTTCTGGGCCCCAGTCTTCTGTCCTCTGCTAACCTTTGTTGAGCACCTGTGTGCCAGGCAGGAATTCCCTTAATTGCCCAGTGCTTCCTGAGACCATGACTCTCTATGTCTCCACTATTCTGATGATGTTCTGAGCATGGACTGAACAGAGGAAGCATTTGCAGAGAGTGATGCAGATTCCTGGGCTGAGGACAAACTGCGAGCTGCCTCATCAGGTATCTTAGTTTTCTTCCCTCACTTTCAAACCGAGGCTATGGAGCCTTTAGGGGGATCTGATACTGTAGAATGACACCAATGTTCTAGGTGAAAACAACGAGGTCAGATGTTGCTGTGTCATTCATTCTCACCCATGTAGTAGGTGCTGGAAATGGCCTGGAGGAGCTGATGGCCCCTCTCTGCTGAAGATATTGGTGAATAGAGGTGTGGATGTTGTTCAACCACCAGCCCAACCCTTCAGCCTCAGGTACTCAGCAGGGAGACTTGTCATCTGAGAGTGGGGCATTTCTAGCCCTAGGAAAAGAGCCCTTCTCTGTGGTTCCCATTCCCCACTGCATAACCTGCTTTTTGTAGCTGTTGGGAGTTTGAACCCAGGGGAACACTGCCTTGACCATCAGTCAGCAGAGAGGCCCATGAAATGGTGAGTCAGGCCCAGTCCTGTGTTGGGGTTGTTCCAAGTGATCCTTTTCTAAATCCAGAGACAACCCCTGGATGTCACCTGTCTTCTCAAGGACTGGGATACTTCTGGGACTGCTCAGCACTTGAGTGACATTGTCTGACTTCCCCTAGACAAGATTTCCCTGTTCACTTACCCAGGAGGCAGAGTTTGGACATACCTCCCAGACTGAGTGTAGGTGTTGTGCCTTGGGCTGGGTGGGCCATAGGTAAGGTTTGCCTCTGCCACTCCCCACCTCTCTCTCACACAAGGTTTGGATCTGCACCCCAGGAGTGTGCCCATGATCTGACCTCTCACTCCCACCACCCTTGTTAGAGAATGGCCAAGCTCTCTGGTCTTTCCTGAGGCAACAACTGCATTATTTGATTCTGAAGCTTACCAACCTTGGTAGATAGTGGAGCATAGAGATGCATCCTTGTCTCTTCATCTTAGGAAATCTGTGGCTTCATTTCTATCAGACCCTTTGGACAGGGAAGGTGTGGGTGGCTGGCCCCCAGTCCCTCAGGATGAGCTGGTGGCCAGGCTCATCTTGGGGAATGGTGTCTCTAGAGGTTTATTCCAAGAGCCACCATAGACCCCAACATCCTTCTGTCCCTGCATCTGAGGGTCCTAGGTGTGGCTCCTCTGTCTCATCTCCTTACTTCTTTTGCTTTACCAGCTTCCCTCCTAACTTCTCTGAGTTCTTTGCCCCATTTCCTGGAATCTCTCCCTCCTCTCCACGTCCTGACTCTGAGAATTTTCCAAGTCTCTGACTCTAGTCTTTTGCTTTTCCCATATGTCATCCCTTCTCAGAACCAAGATTTGGCCCCAGGCCCTTCCTGCAGCTGCCCAGGGAACTCATGACCAGTCCTCATCATCTGGCTGGACCTCATCTCAGTAACGTTCATATCATAACTCTCTATCTCTTGCCTTCCTTCCCTAGGCCCAAAGCATCCTCACCCCTGACTTCTCTTGCCACTTGTGGTTCTACCTGTTATCAGCCCCATATGCTAGAATCCCCTTGACTGGCGCATGCAGGAAGATGGCGGGCTTGGAGTCCTGAGAGCCGTGGGTCACCCTGCTCTCCTCCCATCTGTGTTGTAGCTCCCGAGATCATGGGGCAGTGGCGCGTTCATTCACAGGCCGGCCTAGGCAGCAGCGCCACCGAGCAGGCTGCGGGCCCAGTTCGTGCTCAGCCTCCAGGACCCGGTGCACTGGGGACGGCACCTGGCTGGAGCGGGAGAAGGCGGGAGAGCTCGCGGGGTGCGAGGCGAGGGACCGCCGGCTGGGCAGCATGAGTCAGCAGTGGTCTGTATGTGTCCATGAGAAAAGCTCTCAAAGTGAAGAGACCTCGTTTTGATGTATCTCTGGTTTATTTAACTCAAAAATTTATGGATCTTGTCAGATCTGCTCCTGGGTGTATTCTCGACTTAAACAAGGTTGCCACAAAACTGGGAGTGCGGAAATGAAGAGTGTATGACATCACCAATGTCTTAGATGGAATCGATCTGGTTGAAAAAAAGCCTAAGAACCATATTCGATGGATAGGATCTGATCTTAGCAATTTCGGAGCAGTGCCCCAACAGAAGAAGCTGCAGGAGGAACTTTCTGACTTATCAGCAATGGAAGATACTTTGGATGAGTTGGATTGTGCTCAGCAGTTGTTTGAGTTAACAGATGACAAAGAAAATAAAAGCTATCCTTTAACTCTGTCCTTTTTTAAAAAATGTTTTATTTAAATTCAATTCAATTAACTTATACTGTATCATTAGTTTCAGAGGTAGAATTTAGTGATTCATCGGTTGCATACAACACCCAGTGCTCATTATATCAAGTGCCTCCTTAATGCCCATCCCCCAATTTCCCCATTGCCCCTACCCACCACCTCCTCTCCAGCAACCCTCTTTGTTAACTCTGTCCTTTTCTTTAAAAAATTTCTCCTTCCAAAGCAGGTTATTTTAAATAGTAGGGTCAGCTTGGGGATTTAATTAATATATTCAAAATACAAAATCAGACCTTTAGAAGTTTTAAAAGCAAGTAAAGGTTTAATCGTGTAACCTCAGACGTACACAAATAATTGCCTTTTGCTTGTTTGTATGCTGTTTGTTCAAGTTAAATGCTGCCTCGTGACCATGTACCAACATCCATGTTTGCATTTAAAATAAAAATAGTGCCCCCTCCAAAAAAAGAATCCCCTTGACTCCTGGTCTCCCCTACCTCTGTACATCCAATTAGCCACTGTGTTAGTTGACTTCATAATCCCTTCCTTCCACTGTTACACACCCCCTCCAGGCTTCTCAGCTCACCAGATTACCTAGTGTGTGCCTAGTCGTAGAGGTGGAAGGAAATGCCCACTGGGGTGCCCTGCCCGGGGGGAGCTGATATGTCTTCTGTCCTTAACTTTGTGCATTTGCCTGGTCACTGAGTGAAGAGAGCTCGGCCTGCCTGGAGTACAGTGGGGCTCTTCGTTGGTATCACCTCCTAAGGACCCAGGCCTGGAGCCTCTCCTCTCTCCATTTTCAGAAACAGCCTCCCTGCAGGAGGGCCCTGCTGTCTCTGGCCTCAGGACCTTGGAGGCACATCTACCCTCGGGGAGACCCTTTGTTTTTCTTCATCTCTCATAATGGAGATTCACCTAAGGGCAGAGAATTCCAAAGAGCTAGTAACCTGAAACACTTCTTTTGGGGTTGGGGGGCGGGGTACAAAACCAATTTTGTTTGTTTTACTTTAATGAATGTGTCTTAATTTTTTTCCCCTGAAAATAAAAATTCAGTTTATTGACATGTCGGCTCTCATGACAAATGATTTCGATCCCCCGGCCAAAGGTGGGAATTTCCAGGGAGGCTCTCTGGGCTGAGTCCTCCTTTCTCACCTGCACTGCTCAGACCACACAAGATGAGCCACCTCTCAGCATCGACATCACCAACAAGGTCTTTCCCATCCTTGGCAGCTTCACCCATCAGGGCTGGCGGAGAGCGAGAGGCAGCCACCAGGACTGTCTGAGATCACAAAGCTTCAGGTTGGACTTGAATTTCTTGCATCTAGGCTAATTGGTGTGTTGATGTATCCACCTATAGAAATTATAAAGTGGCTCACCCAGGAGCCCTGGGTCTATTGCCAGCGGTGGAACAGAGGAGAGCGCTTCTCAGTGGGTTCCAACAGACTGCCAGGTGGGGCTCAGAGGACCAGCCTCTCCCACTGTCTCCTGAGCCCAATCTTCTTGGCCATCACCTTCCCCTTGCTCTATGGCGGCTATCACCGATCTCTCCTTTATGTATCGCTGGTTCAAGAACTGCAATCTGGTCCGCAACCTCTCAGACAAATACGTCTTCATCACGGGCTGTGACTCAGGCTTCGGGAACCTGCTGGCCAGGCAACTGGTTGATCGGGGCATGCGGGTGCTGGCTGCTTGCTTCACTGAGGAGGGGGCTCAGAAGCTTCAGCAGGATACCTCTTATCGGCTGCAGACCACCCTGTTGGATGTCACCAAGACCGAGAGCATACAGGCAGCGACCCAGTGGGTGAGGGACCAAGTGGGAGAGCAAGGTGTGGCAAATTGAATTCTTTGGCTTTCTCAGTGTCTCCTTCTCTCTTTCTCCCCCAGGCATCTGACAGTGATCAGGGACACTATTGTTCAGATGCGGTGGGACAGGTGATGGAGAGAAGGGGGCTGGGGCTCTGGCTCAGTGGGATTGGAAGCCATTGCGTGGTTTGGTCTATTCACATGAAGGCGTGATTTCCCAAGGAAGTTTTCTCTGCCAGAAACTCAGAGGGGTGGGGGGAGACTGCCATAGGATGCGGGAGAAGGAAGATGTGTTCTGTATGTACAAAACCTCTAAAGATGGAGTT